AGTCACGGCGCCATAGCCGTACTCCCTGACCCGAACGTCCCATGTTTTCAGCTGCCCTCTATTTATCCATGACTGGCGCACTGGAATGCGAAATCATCTATTTGTTCGAGGATTTAACTGTAGCCCTTACACAGCCAAGGGTAATAGGGTGTCCGTGATGGCCAACCATCAACTGTGTACCGTTCTTAGTGTTGTCTTTCTTTGCTCATTTTGTCGCGTAAAAAGTAAGAAAGTAAACGGAAGAAGTAAAACAAACAACCGCGGATATTGATAATTTCGGCACTCACTATTTTCAAAGGTGTAGCATTGATTGCCGCAGATTTCGCTATTCAATTTACATTCACTTGTTCTTTTATGACTTTTCTTGTACATTTTACTCTATCCTCTGTCTCCGTTTACAGCATTACACCACAAGCACGTGTCATGAATCAAGACTTCAGCTAAAGTAACAATATATATACATCGATCACCTTTCTTCCGCACAAGATGGCTATACCGCACGATGAAAATCTCATCGTATCTTCCGAGATGAGTGTTTCTTCCCTCTCTGTGGCTCCCGTATCGAATACAAAGGCCCATGTGACCGTTGTAATCCTGGTCATTGTAAATTTACTCAACTATATGGACCGATTCACGATCGCGGGCATTCCTATCAACGTGCAACGATTCTATCATATAGACGACGAAAAGATGGGTCTACTTCAGACCATGTTCTTTGTCTCGTACACCTTACTTAGCCCGATAGCTGGCTATTTTGGTGATCGATGGCATCGGAAGTATATTATGGTCATGGGTCTGGTGCTTTGGATCTGTGTCACTTTGTGCAGCTCTTTCGTTCCAGCACATGTAAGCCTGTTCGATTGGACTGTTTCCCATTGACCTGCCCCCCGCCTTTTGATTTCAGTTGTTTCCCCTGTTCATGCTCACCCGGTGTTTGGTTGGAGTTGGAGAGGCGAGCTATTCAACCATTGCGCCAACTATCTTATCCGATTTGTTTGTCGGTAGTAAGCGAATGAAAATGCTCGGATTTTTCTACTTCGCCGTTCCCGTCGGAAGGTGAGTGCGCATTGTATATACTCGCAAACACTTTTTATCATTTGGATCATTTGCATAGATGTTTAAAGTTTCTTCCTACGGCCCTTCGCTTGTGTAGATTTTCATTCGCTTTAGAATGAGTGAAAATGAAATGCTAACGCTAATGCCTTATTTTAGTGACTGACTTTCCCAAACTAGCGTTAATTGTTTGGCAACAATTTCATATTCCCTACGTAGGCTTTCAATCGCGATAGAATTAGTGCAACTTGAGGAATGTCTCAAGCATACAATCATACAATCATGAGGGTCTGATGCAATACCCTATGATATGGTTTGAAGCTACAAACTATGCATCCCAGGTTTTCTTTTTAGGAGAGTTTGTCTTTCCAAAGTGTTCATAGACCACACTTATTGTGGTATTGTCCCTGAAGTGTGTCCAGTTATTCGAAGCTCAGATTCACCAATGAATCTCCATGCATATCAGTAGTTTATTCGTGGCATCACCCACTTTTCCACAATATGCATTATAGTAACTACACGAGTGGATTCCAAGCCACCGACTTCATCGTTAGATCATGAATATCTTGTGTGTTGGGTTTAGGTGAACGTCAGTGATCCCACCCGGTGTTAATTCAAGTGCCAAGGAGATATTGATCTTTCCGGCCGCTACCATGTTTCTTTTCAGGTTGTACAACCGTTAACCACGCACATTCGTGCGCCGGTTTTATTTGCTGTCTTTTGGCTACCCATTTGGATGAAGAATAGGAGAAGAAA